AATCGTTGAAGAATATCTTCTTTTATTTCGGATAAATTTTCTATTAAATCCATTGATAATTTTTCTTCAATTTCAATTGATTGTTGAAGTGTTCGATCAATATTATCAATTAAATATTGAACTGTTTCACTAAAAACAATAAACAATAGATATTTGTTCTTTTGTTTTTCTATGTATAGAACAAATAAACAAAAAAAAAGACTTACGGAACAATTTTAAATCGGCATGGTATATCACTACGAAAAACACCTGATTCAAGTGCTTCAACACTTGCGCCAACATAAATTTCCGAAATAAGTAAATGACCATCATTCGTATATTTATACTGTTCATCTTCGTGTTTATTTGGAAAAATAACATTAGCCATAAATGCTTGTACCATTAATAATGTTTCACATAATGTTCCAGAACCTGAAATTCATCAAGTTATAATTAACTTAGAGTTTGCTTTTTTTTTTCGTTAAGAAGATAGAAATAAAAAATTCGAATTCTTTAGATAAAATGAACAGATATTATCGAAAAGATTGAATTCTACAAGTAACATTTATTGAGAGTCAATTCACTTGCTCCTCGATTGATGGGATTGAAATATTCATCTAGATATAAACGTACACTATATACTAGATAAATACAGAAAGCGATTCAGTATATAAGAGTGATTTATGTTTTTTAAAAAAACAAATTTTTTCTTAATATAAAACTTGACTTCAATATTTACATAGAAAAAAAAAACAATGACTTTTAATATGCTACATTTGACTGATCATTTTCAGTTTATTTGTTTTTTCTTCTTTAATACAATTTTATTATATGACATCCTGATGTATACGGCATTGAAAAATCGATCGAAGCATTCAATAATTTAATAACAATGACTCTCACTACTAAAAGCATACTATTAGATTAAAAAAAAGCACACATGTAAATCATTATATGTTGCTGCATTCCATGATTCAGAAATATAAATTTTCTATTGTTATTACTTCTCAGTTAATTTTAATCCATATGTCTAGATACTTTTTCTATGTAATACTACATAGTTATTTGTATTATAGTACTCATACAGTAACAATGATACCAATAGAGACGCACAGGTGAGTTGTTATTTCGCCATGACGATGAAGCCAGGATCACGGCTGCAGGTTTCCATTCGCAATAGACATGTCTGATCTGTTTTGATTATTTTATATTAGATATTAGATAAGAAAATACCAAATAATCATACGTTTTAGTTGTTCTATTATTCTGAAGTTTTAATCTTTCGTAACATTTAACTCATTCATAAAAAATAATGAAATATGATATCTAATTAAATTAACCTTTTCGAAGTACTTTATCTGGTCTCATTGGAATAATTGTTCCAAGTGCAAAAATAAATATATGAACATATTTCGTATATAAATAATATGTTGCTACAGTATCAGATACAGAATAATTTGATAATGTTTGTGGTTGTTCAACAGCTAAACGACACATATTGGGGTGTGGATGGGTGTGGGTATGGGTGGGGGTGTGGGTGTGGGAATGGGTGTGTGGG